AAATTTGGTGATGGTAAGGAAAAGTGAGGCAACAATGAACAGAACATTCCTATCTCCAGAGAAAGGAAGTGTATAGTAGAGAGAGAAAATCAAGTGATCAGTATGTTTGATTGAATTGGTTGCAATTACACTAATAACTGTTTCTTTTCAACTTGTTACAGATAATAGTTCCTGTATGTTGTGTAAGGCCTAATGCTGCTACCTGGAAGTCACTGAATTGTGGCCCTCTGATGGTTTGATTTCTCACTCTTCAGAGTTGCCCAGTATGAGAATGTTAGAGAATAATCTCTTCATGTTAACTGCGTGTGCAGCAGCTGCGAGGCTCACTTACAATTCCAAGATTTAGCTTCATTTTTTTTCTTTTAACTGATTTTTAATATATTTTGGCAATTTATTTATGTTATGTAAATAAGTATGTTTCAGTTATTGAAACTGTGATTTTGCTTCTATCTAGAAGCAAAAGTTATTTTAGGCTAACCACTAGAAGTAAACATTTTTGATTTTTGTTTTTAGTTTATAGTATGCCTCTAATATTTCTTAATCTGTATAATTCTACAATAGTACAAAAATGCTTAAAGCAAATATTGCTTGTTGTGCATAACTGTGATAGCAGAACTGAGAATATGGAAGAGTTGTAAATTTATGCTTTGTATTCTGTTAATAGCAGATATTTTTAGCTTGTGATTTGGTGATCAGTAATTCTTTGGAGAGTCCAGGCATGGACCGGGTAATACAGAAATAACATAAATTGCAGGCTGTTTGGTTGCATTCTTTTTTTTCTCCATATGAATTCAATGTGTGTATATATGTATTTACAATTGAATATTATAAATATGTTTGATATTTGGCTGGTGTTTGGTTAGCTGTGGATATGGATGGTTACGCTCAGGGATTCTGAAGTATCGGAACTCCCATTGGCATCAGATATCCAGAAGTTCATGCTGGAATTGTGTTCAAGATTGCCGACTTGGTTCATGGCTATGTTTTCCCTTGGGCTTAAGCATTCTCTTTAGTATCATTATCCATCTATTTGTGAGGAATATCCCACCTGAAGTCCATATATTTAGAAATTCCACATTTGAGGATACTGTTCACTGTACCCTCATGATATAACTCCCATTTAAAACAAACCAAAAGATCTACAATTGGTAATTTTTTTTTTAAAAATAACATTTCAATTAAAAGCATGTACATTTATTTTAAAATTGAGTTTCTTTCCTGCTCAAAACTCTGTATAGAACCATCTTTAATTACTTAAGACACCACCTTGCTTCACAGAATGTAACCCCTAAATGTGTTGCTTTATGGGGAAATAGAAATATCATAGAAGACAGAACTTTTTGATAATTCAGTATCAATGTGGAACTATCAAAACAATTAGGATTAGTGAGCTCTCAGAACAGAGTAGCATACCAGCTTCTTTTTTGCACTGTTCTGATGTAGCATAGCCTCCCTCGAAGTGTTTAGTGAGAAAAATGTCTACAGAGATTTAGAAGTCCAGGCACTTGAAAATGTTCCCTTTAAATTCAGTTACTAGTGCTTGGAGATGGAGAAGGATCTTAATATGCTCTCTACAGTTTATGAACTCTGAAATATCAAAACTAAGGAGATAAGAGGTAAAAAAAAGCTTAAACAGGCACAGTGTGTTTTGCTTGTTTTAAAATTCAGTATCAAAGTGTGTGCAGAAACAGTTACTTCTTGTCTACAAGTGTGTTCCCTGTATATGTTGGTCTAATCCTAAATCTATGATCAAATGTGCTAATTTCAATAAAGAAACGTTGACCTGAAACTTTCAGCTACAGAAGATCAATGTCTTGTCCTGTGTTTTTAAGTCTCGTTAGAATAACTGGTGTTTGTTGCCAACTGCCTATTGAGTATCACAAATTTCATATTTTTGTGTTAGTTGTTATAAAAAGGATTTATATTTATAGAATTTAAATTTTTGATAATACTTCAGTTAATTGCTTTTTCAATTCAGATTGAGTTTACTTGCAGGATACTATTTGTCACCCTTTAATCTGTCCTGTTAATTAATGTTAATGAAATCTGTTGGACATCCAAATAGAAAGCTAATGTTGTTTTGTAGGCATTTTGTTGCGAGTTTGATTTTAAGGTGTTCAGAGGTGTTTCTTACGGTAGCTGAGATTTGAATGGAAGTTGATTTAATGAGCTTAATACTGTTGAGGCAAGGAACGAATCAGACCTTCCATCTGAAAAGTTAAAAAAACAGGGATATAAGTATTTGGTTTCATACTCCTTCTTTTTATTTTATTTTATTTTATTTCATAGAATCGTAGAATCACAGAATGCTTAAGGTTGGAAGGGACCTCTAGAGCTCATCTAGTCCAACCCCCCTGCACACGCAGGGTCACCTAGAGCACGTGGCACAGGACTGCGTCCAAGCGAGTTTGGAAGATCTCCAGAGAAGGAGACTCCACAACCTCTCTGGGCAGCCTGTTCCAGCACTCTGTCACCCTCAATGTTAAGAAATTTTTCGTTAAGTTCCTGTGGAACTTTTGATGCTTCAGTTTCTGGCAGTTTCCTCTAGTTCTATCAGTGGCCACCACTGAAAAGAGGCCAGCACCATCCTCCTCACTGCCTCCCTTGAGGTACTTATATACACTGATCAGATCCCCTCTCAGCCTTCTCTTCTCCAGGCTGAACAGGCCCAGCTCCCTCAGCCTCTCTTCATAGGGCAGATGTTCCTGATCATCCTTGTAGCCCTTTATTTATTTTTTATTATTAGTATAGTACTCATATTTTATAAAGTCAGTATTAAAACTGTTTTCAGCCTGTTTCAGGTATCTGTGAAAATCAGAGTTTCTTGAATGCAACTGGTGGCAAGAATGAAAATATGGATAACATCAAGTTCTATCTGTGTCATTAAGCACAGGTACCACAGATGCAATGCTCCCATCACAGCACTGAGAACCTTTAATTGTTCTACTATTCCCAGTTAGGTTTCAAGAGAAATCATTATAATGACTATGTGATACTTGCAGATGTTGCAGGTTTGCAATGTCTTCATTAAGCTATTGCTACAACTCCTTCTTGATCATTTAATCTGCAGTTGTGTCCCTAAGTCCATGTTTTGAATTAAGTATTAAAAGTCCCAATTAAGTAGGAAGCAATCATCATTATGATATTAGGGTGAAACGTGCATTCGTGTTTTCAGGGTGGATCTTGATACAAAATTGCTTTCTGAAAGTACCCACAGATATGTACATCAGGGCAGTGGAAGCTGCTAAGTGTCTTAAAAATACAGAAATTTGAAAGCACTTGAAATAGCAAGCAGTTGCATTGAATAATAAAATGCTTAAAATCAGAAGAGGAATCTGGGAAAACTCAAAAGGATAACAGAGAAATATCTACTAGAAATAGTTTGAAAAAAAATCAGTATTCATCAGAGTGTTTGGAGTTTACTGGGGTACCCGAGTAACTGAATTCTGGGGTGAGCCATGTGTCCTGGACAGCTTTGCTGGAGTTCCTTTGTGAAAGAAGACTGATAGCAAAATGAAATAAAGTGTTTTCCTCAACTCGTCTTCAACAACATCCCTGCAAGATGTTTTTGTGAGTGACAGAAAACCGCTGAAGAAGGGAGATACTTCCTGTATCTTGTGTGCTTTGCCTGGAGTTCAGGGAACGTTGTAGGGTTTTGGTTTTTGTTTGTTTTTTTTGTTTGTTTGGTATGAGCCTTTCGCTCACTGATGCTAGAGTGACAGCGCCCCATAGATTCTTACAAAAGCAATAGCAACCTTTGGGGAACTCTGAACTCTCTTTTGTGTTGACATTGGGAGCCCTGTGCAGGGTGATTCTGGCTATTGAGGTCCATGACACAGTTGTGAAACAGTTTCACAAAAAGAACATCTGGTCACTTAAGACCCTTAAAAAACAGTTACTTTTATGACATGGATGCATCTCTGAACTGACAGAGAAAGGACTGCAAGTCTTAATGGTCAATTCCAGCTTCCTTTTCTCTAACTCTAGAAAGCAGAATGGCAATTAGCAAACTGAAGTATGTAATTTTAGCTTGACAGTCATAACAAAACAGAGAATGCATGAAAGTTAGAAACTTCTATGATGGACTCCTGGCTGTTGTTGTAACAGATGTTGATGCATTTTAATATTTTCTCACGTTTATAGATATTTGCATATTTTCCATTGAGGAGACCTTTTGTTTGCTGTAAGAAGCTATTATTCAAAGCATTAATGGGTTTCCAGCTATTAAGATGTAATGATATACCTTAAGTATTTAACTATAAATTTGAAAAATCTCCATGAGCAATCTCAAAGGAATACTTAGAATGCACTCATAGTAAATTGGCCCATTTTCTTGTAATTTACTAGAAGTGCTGATATGAGAGCAGTTGCAATGTGAAAAGTATATTAATCCCTAGAGTTGCATTGTATGTATGAAATTACTACTTTCAAAGTTTAAGACACATGAAGCTATTTGGGCTCATGCTCATTACTTAGAATCACAGTAGAAAAATTATGACCAGTTTTTGGAGTAAGGAATTTGAAGTATAAATTTAATATCTATAAGCAATGTAATAATAAATTTTATGTTGTATAACAGTGTCTAATTTCTAAAGGATTACTCTGCTAGATGAGTGTCAGCAGAAGGCATTACAGTTAAAGCTTCTTTCTTTAATTAAAAAAAAAATCACATGAGATCCTTTGTAAAAAAATAAAGCTAGTGGTTCTTGATAGCAGATCCTGAAGGAACTAGCTTGATCCCGTGCTATGGAGGTGGAAGAAAAAATCCAACTTTGGCCATACTATTTTAATAAAAACAACTCAGCTCTAACTTTTTGATACACCCTTTTCAAAAACTCTTGTTAAAGGATTATCTGTTTTTTTTTCTTTTTCTTTTTTTTTCTCTTTCTCTTTACAGAATTCTCTTTATAGAATGAGAGAGACATGGAGAAACTCCAGTTAACTTCAATAATGTAATATTTGCTAGAATTTACTTTTGGTCTTTGCATTTCCTGGAAACACTTTGTGTAAGAAATGACTAACAATCTGTAAAACAGTTGTCTAGCAAACTGGATCATGGAGAAGCAGCTGGACCCCTGGAAGGATGACTTGCCTCTAATGGCCAACACCAGCCACATTCTTGTAAAACATTATACATTGGACTTGGATGTGGATGTAAAAAGCCAGAGTATTGAAGGCACCATAGTTTTCTTCTTTGAGACGGGGAGCAGATACAGGAACGGCCGCAGCACTGAGGAGGGCGGCTGCTGTTCACGGTTTGATGAAACCTGCAAAACCGGCGCGTCTGAACCCGGCCACATCCCTGTGACAAGTCTAAGTGCCGGCTCATCTAACGCAGAAGATTCTGATTTTGTGGTCTCTGGTAAAGGTGGGAAAGATACTTCTGATAAAAATGGTAACCATAGCAACGGGGAACAGGCTTCTGGGATTCCTGCTTCAAAGAACCGCTGTGACACAGAGGATCCCGGGAGCACCGATTTTGTGCTGGTGCTGGACTGCTGTGATTTATCCGTGCTGAAGGTGGAGGAGGTAGATGTTGCTGCTGTGGCAGGCACTGAAAAATTTACACGGTCTGCCAAGCTCAGTGATGCCTCGGCAGAGCTGGGAGATCTCCGGAATCAGATTGTACATGGACTTGTGACTTTACCTGCGGATCGCTGGGAGGAACAGCTGTGCTATTACAAGCGCTGCAGCCAGGCACCTGGCTGTGGACAGCTTCCCTTCACCACTGGCCCGTGGAGCCTGGAGATAAGGAAATCAGGGATTCGTGCTCCAAGAGACTTTCCTCATGTGATAAGAATACGGTACAAAACCAAACCAGAGGGGCGATCTGTTACATGGACTACAGACCAGAGTGGCAGGTATGTAGCTGTCAGCTGAAAAGCTTTGCATGCATTAATTTTAAACGTTAATTTAAACGTTAAAGTTACAGAAGAGCAGCTGTGTGAGGAGGATTGAACAGTCTCTTCCCTTCTTCTAAGATTTCATCCTTGGTTTGGATGCTATTGCACTGTTACAGGAGGGCAGGTAAGCTGTGCTCAGGAAACCCCCGTGCCCCTGCAGAGCTTAGACCTGGCTCAGTGATAGCCTCTGCTCATTCTGAGTGGGAAGAAAGAATTGTTGCATATCGGATGCACATTTGTGCTGGGAATGGGGAATTCGCACTTAGAGGAGAGTAATATATGCGTGATAATCACGTTAATACTCTATGCTCATTTTCCTTCCTGTGTCAAGGCACAGAGATCAGCACACATAATATTTAATAGAATTGCTCCCCAACCAGTCTTTTATCAATATTGTAATAGGTTTACAAATACAGTCTTTTCCTGCTTAGTCTCTCCTAATCAACTTTTAAAATCTCCTTCATCTATTACAAAAAATACATTGATGATAACAAGTGAATTGCAAATGGAGACTGTAAGAAGAATTGAGTTTTTTATCCAGCCTTTGTGAAAGTACACACTGCTGTACAGAAATCTTCAAGATAAGTGCTTATTGGAGGGAAACTACAATATGCTCTTGATATTTACAATTGTAACATAGTTTTACTGTGATGTTCAAAGCTGGATTTTAATGGGGAGCAAAGCTGGAAGATGAAGAAGCAAATTGGTCCAAGTGAATACTTGAATTTCATTCCTGAACTAAAGATTTATGTTTGACTTTCTTTTCAGTTATGCTAATATTAATTAAGAGGCTCCTCACTAACATTAACATAAGGGAGGGATATGAAGCTTTTTAAGTTAGAGGGCTAGTACTTGGGCAGTTTTACACTTAAAAAGTATGATCAGCCTCAAGCCCAAGAATGTGTTATTTATAACCTTCCCCTTCCCCTTATGTCCCTTCTTCTTCATCACCCTCCCTGCCCCCCCATTACAAAAAAAAAAGTTGCTATGGGTAGACATGCAGGAAATTTAGCTGAATATGATGTATTTCCTCACAAAAGTTATGAATTTTGACTGAAGAATACAAAGGTAGTGCAATTACCTGTAATGACACATTGTATCAGTATTTCCCTACCCTTTTCTTAAGTATTTCAGACTAACTTCAGCAACACTCTTCTAGTATAGACTTGTCTTCTCTATTTTCCCTCACATAAATATTGTACTCTCTTGTTTTTCTTTAAACAATCTAAGTCACTATGAACTTCTGACTCTTTTCCCTTTCCCTCAATGCTTACTTTAGGGGCATTTTGTGGCAGTTGAAAGCCAGCATAGAATTTTATGAATCGGTGATGAAAAAGGAAAAAACAATTTGTCCCGGGTCAGGTAGGCTAATGGCAGCATAAGTCTCAAGTTGCTTTATTTTCTATCTCTAGAAGGGTGTTCCAGAATCTAACCTCTGACAGAAAATAAGTTTTCCTGTCACTCACAGTTCTTTAAAGCTCCTTTTTTTTTTGTCCTGAAAAATGATGTGCACAATGAACCCATAAGTATAGTGGCCAAGCACGTTGTGCAAAGTACTGCCATATTTTTCTTCATGTTTCAATAAATGGAACCCATTAAAAAGGTACAGGGGAAGTGCTATTACAATTTATTCTCATGGGATAATTCTTTAAATTGTTCCAAATTATGTGCATGGTACTTTCTAGGCAGATGTCAAATCGTGTCCCAAAGGAGACTATAATTTGTGGTTCTAACCATGAAGGAAAGTAAATAACAAAGAGCAAGCACTGGGTAGCCACTTGCAATACATTTCCTCTGATTAAATGTTTGAACAGTGTTCTGAAATTTACCCTATGCACTAATTATTTTGTGAGGACTTCCATTTTATTCATTTTAAACAATGCTTGTACTGTAATTCACAAAAATCTGTTAAAACAAAGCTTTGTGGGCTGGGTTTAGGCAAGCTGAGATATGAGTATGGAAACCTGATATGGGCATAGCAGGGCAGATTTCAGTTTTCAATACTGGAACAGAATGCATGGAATTTCAGTGTTTCCCTATTTGGTCTTTTGATCCTAGAAGCTATGTAATTATCACAAAATGGGGTTGCCTTTGGATCTGTAACATTTTTTTAATAGCGCTTCTTGGGGCTTTTTATAAGGAAGAACAAAAGGACAGAAAATAAAAGTGAGTGTGTGTTTCTGCGTGTTTGTGTCTCGCTGGCGCCGTGCGTGCCCTTGCGCACACCCGTGACCGAGCCCACACGTGCGTGTACCTGGATGTACGCGCTCTGGTCCTCCGAAAGACAGGGCTGTGAAGCCTGCATCCATTCATAAAACTGGAAACAAGGAAATTATAACATTAATAGATAAAATCATTATTAAAATAGAAAAATTCCCTTCAGTATAATGTTTATAATATATTCAAAAAGACCAAAGAGAAAGCTGTTCTATTTTAAGTTTTTTTTAATTTCTCTTTACTAACACAATGCAGAAGCATTGGGGTTATACAAACTAGGAAGGTATTGTGGCGATTTAAGCAGAACTTTTGTTTAAGTATTCTTACTATTATTAAATATTATAAAAACTGTTCTAAAATAAAAGCTACATGGGGGAGGCATAGAAACCTCTTTGTGGAGAAAAAAAATTGGATATAAAATATTTTTGATTACTGGGACGGAGAAACTTTGTTCAGCTGAGTTAACGCAAATCTTAAGAGTATATAACAGTGTTAAGTTAGCAAAGCTAACAATGTAGTTCAAGAGAATTGCTTTCTTGTGATCTTTGTAAAGTCAAGAAAACTTTGAATATTATCTTGGGATTCCATCTCTTTATTACTTAAAATTTGGATTTTATTACAGATTTAGATTAAAATGAAGAGGTAACTTTCTTAACAGACAGTTTAGCAAATTCACGTGTAGTAGGCGATTCCTCCATCCTTTCTTTTGCCTTCCTTATTGCCACCTCTAACTGCCATTGTAAATTAGTTAATAATTTTGTTGATCTTTGTAAGAGATTAGGTTTGATCTGATTTCCTCATCATGAGGTTAGATATGATGGAGTATCTTTGATACGAAAAATGTCAGTGAAAAGCATTCCATGAGACCGAAAGCTTTCTGTACCAGCTCCTAATCCTGTTGCTACCTGTGCATTATCTATATTGGCACACATGAAAAGGTCAAGCTATTAGGAGTAAAGTTGAGCACATGTATTTATTTTTCAAACTGTAGCCTAGATTTTAGATATTCAGAAAAAATCTGTGAAATAAAGGGAATGGATTGAATTACTCTAAGTGTAACTTTAAATCTGTGATGTAGAAAAATTCTATGGGAAAATAATATGTTTTTAGAAGGTATTAGAGGAAGATTGTGTTGTTCAGGGAAGAACTTTAGCAGGAATTAACCTTGTGATGATTTGAGAACTATCAAAATGAAAAATATTGAAAAATGTGAAATGAACTAAACCAAAAGCTTACTGTAAAATTTTCATTTTTGTTTGACCAATCAAAATGTCTTTTAAATATATTAAGAAATACTGTCTTATAAAGTCTTGTGATAAAATATCAACATACTTTTAGAGAATTCAAGATCTGCTTTTGCCTCTGTAAAATCTTTGAAGGTTAATACAGCAGGCATAAATCTATCATTTTGTAAAGTGCTAATGCCATCACTTATTCTTCATTTTAATGCTTCTTTCCAGCTTCAGTGTTCAAACATGCTATAGACATGTCTGAACTGCACAGTTCTTTTGTTATAAATAATCTTGTATTTCCCTAAAGTGCAACTGAAGGACTAGCCATAGACAGTGATGAGGTGAGTGTCCAAGTGAGATGGTACCAAACATGGGAATAAAGAGAGACTGACAGGATTCCTATCTATTTGCTAGCTGCAGAGCATAGCAACAGTACACAGATTTGGAGGCAAGATATATTTGAGAATTACAGGGAGAAGGTGGCAAAGGGGAGTGATTTATTTATGTCTTTTTTGAAAAGAGTTGATAAGTTTGTGTACTTTCAAAGACACGCTCTAAAAAAGCCATAATCTTTCTCTGTGCAGACTGTCATACGTAGTATGACCTTTATGGATTCTGAATCATTCATTGCATTTTGATAGGGTACCTGATATTTGCAAAACTAATTTTACCCATGACGGTAGAAATTGAAAAATTTAGTTGAATTTGAACAATTTCAAGTGACGAGTCATGTTAGCATATGGGTCATGAAAATAGATACCTATTTTTCAGTTGGCGCTGGTTGGTGTTTCGGTGCTCTTGGATGCTAGAAACATGGGGAAGGAATAGACAGGTTGCTTCTCTTTCTGGCTAAAGTTTGAGAGAACATGGCGCTGCATAACCCAGGCGGGTCCGTGACTGAACCCTGGGGTGGCCGCCGCCAGCTGCGGGGACTGTCTGCTGTCACCCTGCTGACTCGCGGGATTCACGAGCTGGGGTTGCGGCCTGCAGCCAGGGCGCCTCGGGCAGTGCCAGTGGGGAGGGCCGAGGAGGCCGCGTCGTGGAAATACCGCTTTCCTCGTAAACAGTGGAGTTACCGCTCAACTGCTTCAAACATAAAATCTGAAGGGGAGGTCAGAATACTAGATTGAAGAGACAGCTTTGTGCTTGCCGAGCTGTGGGTAGAGATCAAACCCAGATGTGAAACAGTGTTCAGAGAGAGAAGATACTCCCAGACCTGTGGAAATTGCCTGGTCTGTGGTGAAGTTTATGCTATTACTGACGAAATGTTACAAACAAAAAGACCCAAAGCAGGTGGTTACTCAGAGATCAAAGCCTGTTTATACAAACTCCTCACAACTGCAGATAACTTCACAAGCCCCGGCAGGACTGTGCTATAAGAAAAAAAAAGTCAAATATAGTTGATTACTGTGCTTTGAGTTTTCGAGTGTTGAGCAATGTGCACAAAACACCAACAGAATTTAGTAGCAGCTCTGGCCCTTTGGATGGGATGCACAGGAATTTTAACAG